CAAAAAAAAAAAAAAAAAAAAAAAATAGTAAAATAAAATAAATTTTAAAAATAGCCCCAAGCGTATGGGGGTAGAAAACCAATAATGGATAATACTTATCCTTTTATTTTTTTGTGAGTTTTATTGGCAAAACATATTACGTCTTAGTATGCATCCTTGATTACCAGTGAGGTTGACCACCTTTGGGAATTTTGTATTTTACCTTCTATAAATTACCTGTTCATATCTTTTGACCCTTTTGCTATTAGAATGTTTTATAAAATGTTAACTTATTGGTACTCTTTATGTATATCTTTGTGTGTTTTGATAATCACTTTTGTTTTGTCCATTATATAGAATGTTGTAATTTTAATATAGTAAAATCTATCAAACTTTCTTATATTTTGAATTTTTTTTTTTTTTTTTTGACACAGAGTTTTGGTCTGTTGCACAGAGTAGGGTACAATGACAACGATCACAGTTCACTGCAATACAACTTCAAACTCCTGGGCTCAAGCAACTCTCTTGCCTCAGGTTCACAAGTAACTAGGACTATAGGCATAAGTTACCACATCTGGGTAATTTTTTAAAAATTTTTTGTAGAAGTCTGGGTGAGGTGGCTCACGCCTATAATTAGCACTCTGGGAGGCTGAGACGGGTAGATTGCCTGAGCTCAGGAGTTCCAGACCGGCCTATTAAGAGGGAGACCTGTCTTAGAAAATAGCTGGGCATTGTGGTAGGTGTCTGTAGTTTCAGCTACTTGGAAAGCTGAGGCAAGAGGATCACTTGAGCCCAAGAGTTTGAGTTTCCTGTCAGCTATGAAGGCATGGCACTCTACTGAGGGCGACTGAAACTCTATCTCTAAAGAAAAAAAAAAATAAACTTTTTTTAGAGATAGGTTCTCAGTTTACTAGTATTGCCCAGGGTGGTCTCAGAACTTCTAGTGTTAGGTGATCCTCCCAACTTGGTCTCCCAAAGTCCTATGATTACAAGTGTGAGACACTGGTCCTGGTCTGATTCTGAGTTTTTTGTCTTAGTAGGACAATGTTTTTTTATCCATTACTTTTTTAATATTTTTGAGTCTAGATTAGGATTCTATTAGAGTTAGGATATTGAGTGATGATAAGAAGCACCGAATATTTTTATCTAAAGTAATAGTGCTACCACTGGTACATAAAATTCAGATAGAAGGCAAGCAGTTAATGACCAAGAAAACGGCAACACCATTCTTCCCATTTCCTCCATTTACTTTTTTTGTTTGCTTGTTTATTTCTGTATCTGTTGATTTATCTTTTTAATTGCCAACTCCTGAACCATTCTTTCTCTTGGAAATTGCCTTGAGGTAGACATACTTAGGATTGTTTTAAGCATTAGCATTAGCTTAAGCATTCTGTAAGAGATTTAGAAAAGGGCTCATTTGCTTCAAGGAAAAGAGAAAACACATCAGTGTCCCAAGTAGTTCTGTATGTATTATGCTGATACGGTCTGGAATATCCGATATTAGGGAACCTGGAGTTCAAAAGCTGAGTATAGATTTCCCAGAGAAAAGTTTATTATGACTGTTAGATCTTTGAGTAACTCAGAAGCATCAGACTTTGGGATTAGCCGGGTTTGAGATTGAGTTTCATCTCTTCTTTTATCTAGCAATGAGACCTCTCTAAGCTAAAGTTTCCTCATGTCTGACCTCAGGTAGTAACAGTGGCACTAAGGAGGTCTGTTGATGAGAACACATTTTGCATAGTACCTGCACATAGTGACTCCTCAGAAAATAACTGAAAGAAGGGTTTGTTTAAGTAAGCAAGTGTATTATTTGTATGAACAATAATGAGGTTTTTTTTCCTTTGTATTGAGAATTGAGGAAACCAGATTACCAGATTAATGTCTTTTTAGACAGGGGCAAGTGTCCGGGTGGTGAATCAACTCCTTACTGAGATGGATGGTCTGGAAACACGACAGCAGGTTTTTATTATGGCAGCCACTAACAGACCAGGTAAGAGACAAGAATATAACACAAATGAACCTAAAAATTTGCAGCATTTATAAACAATATAATTTATGTATATCCTAGTAAAGGAAGATTAAATTTAGGCAATCCCTTTTTAATTCCTAAAGTTGAAATAAAGCCTTAGCATGATTTTGCATAAGTTAAAGTAAAAGGCCTGGTGTCATTGCTGGGATCCCACAAGATTGCTCCTCTGTGTTGGTGCTTACAAAGTTGTCTTGATGGCAGAGAACACTTGGGAGCATGCATTTTTAATTATAAAAGTATTTTCAGTGCTGTGAGCTGTGAGGCCACGGTACTCTACTGAGGATGACATGGTGAGACTGTCTCAAAAAAAAAAAAAAAAGGGAAAAATGGGCCAAGAGTGGTGATGCTTACCTGTAGTCTCAGCTATTCGGGAGGCTGATACAGAAGACTGCTTGAGCCCAGGAGTTCAAGGTTGCGCTGAGCTTTGATGACACCATTGCACTCTAGCCTTGGTAACAGAGGGAGACCCTGTCTCAAAAAAGAAAAGAAAGAGGCTCAAAACTTCAAAAGTGGTGTCCAGGAGCTGTTGTGACTTACATAGCTGAGAAAGATACTTGCATCCATTTTTTTTTCAAATTAATAGAAATTTATTGTACCTGTGCAGGGATTGTTGCCATAGGAAGCAAGCAACCCCGAATGGCAGATCAAATGGGTTTTTATACCCCACTATCTGCATCACAGCAAGTGGGCAAAGGTATAGAAGCTGAATCATTGCAGTTGGAGGGGAAGGTTGTCACGTAGTATAAGGGGGGAGGCCGGAGGCATGTCAAGCCTCTCCTCCCTACGCACTTTCTTATCTTAAAGTTTCTCCTCAAAGTTCTTCCCCCTTACTACACACTCCCTTATCTTCAGGCCTCTTCTCAGAATTCTCCTCCCCACCCTTGAGGGGGCTGGGTCTAATGGATTCAAAGGAAGTTTCTTTTTCAAGAGTAGGTGCTTGATTATCACAGAGCAAGGGCTCAAGACTATAATCCTAGCACTCTGGGAGGCTGAGGTGAGAAGATCCCTTGAACTCAGGAGATCAAGACCAGTCTCAGCAAGAGCAAGACTCCATATCAACTAAAAATAGAAAAATTAGCTGGGTACTGTAGCAGTCACCTATACCTACTTGGGAGGCTAAGGCAGAAGGATCACTTGAACCCAGGAGTTTGAGGTTGCTGTCAGGTAGGCTGATGCCATGGCACTTTAGCCTGGGTCAACAGGGTTAGACTCTGACTCAAAAACTTTTTTTTAACTTCAGAAGTGCTAAAGGTGGCTTTTATTTCAGATTATAAACTCCTCTGTACTCTGAATGAGCCATTCTATCTATGAGTGTGCTTCTGCAGTGACACTTGCAGTAACTCTGCTGGCAGGGATATCACACTTGAATTGCTTAAATAGATTCATCAATTGTCAAGATAGTATAATTCTTTTTATTTCTTGTAAGTTACTATGGAAATCAAAACCTTGATGAATTTTTGTATCATTTTATTTTTTTAATTTGTTAATAATTTATCACTCATATTCATAGCTCAGGAACACAGGTCAGTGACAAACGTCTATGTAAATCAGCTCAAAGAAATTATTATTATTATTATTATTTTTGAGACAGAGTCTCAAGCTGTCCCCCTAGATAGAGCGTTGTGGCATCACAGCTCACAGCAACCTCTAACTCCTGGGCTCAAGCGAGTCTCCTGCCTCAGCCTCTAAGTAGCTGGGACCACAGGCACCCGCCACAACGCCTGGCTATTTTTTGGTTGTAGCCGTCATTGTTGTTTGGTGGGCCCGAGCTGGATTCAAACCCACCACCTTAGGTGTATGTGGCTGGTGCCTTAGCTACTTGAGCCACAGGTGCAATGCCAGAAATTCTTTATATTTCAAAATTACTTTACTCTTTGAAAGACACCAGCCTTTCTCATCTCCTCAATCTTTCATACAATCATAATTTCTGTAGAAATCTGCATATGCCTTCTTTCTTGGTTCAGCCACAGCAAACTTATAGAAAGCTGCAGCCCCCAGGGATACAACAAATGCTCCAACAATATGAATCCGCAGGCACTTGGCCAAGAGGCCATGAATCTGAGGTTTGGCCAAAGCACTGGAAGCCATGGTAGTTACTGTCCTTGATGGGTATTGCCAACCTCAGCACGTCCTTCCGGCTGAGGTACACACGAACTGCCTCATTTTATTTTATAATACATAAGTGTGAATTATTTTTTTGAGACAGTCTTATCATGTCACTCCTCTGTAGAGTGCTGTGGTGTCGCAGCTCATAGCAACCCCCAACTCTTGGGCTTAAGCGATTCTCATGCCTCAGCTTCCCAAGTAGCTGGGATTACAGGCATCTGCCACAACACCCAGCTGTTTTTATGTTGTTGTTGCAGTTGTCATTGTTGTTTAGCAGGCCCAGGGGTTGGAACCCACCAGCCTTGGTATACGTGGCTGGTGCCCTAACCACTGACCTATAGGAACCAAGCCAAGTGAAAACTTTTTGTGGTGTGTAGATTGACTATAGTAATAATGAAAGACTGTCTTTGGAATCAGACAGGGATGGGTTAGAGTCCTATCCATAGCACTTTATTGTGTATTAATAACTGTTCTGCTTCAACCCCAAGTGGTCTAACACCTGCTGAGTTTACTCTATGGTTCCATTCTAATGTTAATGGAGTTACATCAGACCTAGCAGGTGATAGGTCAGTGCCCTACAAGACTCCACCTACAATGCCCACTGCAAGTGTATTTCAGACATTCACACTTCTGACTGGCATGCTGTAAGTTTGGGGATTCTCATGACTCCCTCAGGTCTCATAATTGGCTAAAACAACTCACAGAATTCAAAAACGTTCCATGTTTAACAGTTATATTGGTTCAGTGCCTGTTGCTCAGTGAGTAGGGGCACCGGCCACATATACTGAAGCTGGTGTGTTCGAACCTGGCCCAGGCCTGCTAAACAACAATGACAACTACAACCAAAAAATAGCTTAGCGTTGTGGTTGGTGCTTGCAGTCCCAGCTACTTGGAAGGCTGAGGCAAGAGAATCACTTAAACCTAAGAGTTGGAGATTGCTGTGAACTGTGACACCATGGCACTCTACCAAGGGCTACACAGTGAGACTCTGTCTCAGAAAAAAAAAAGTTTTATGAGGTCTAGGGGGAGCACAGAACTTCATGACTTTTGCCTGTCAAATCAGAGCTTGTCACCCTCCTGGCCTATCAGCATGTTTACTTGGGAAGCTCAAAGTTCTAATTGTCTTACTGCATGCTTAGTCTTTCTGGTGACCAGCCCCCATCCCGAAGCTCTCTGTGGGCCCACCTTAAGTCACCTCATTAGCACATCAAAGGCACTCTTGTCACTCAGAAAATTCCAAGGATTTTTAAAGCTCTGTGACAAGGACCAGGGGCAAAGACCAGTAGCATTTTATATTATGCCACCATAACTTTGGGTGTATATTACTACTTCATCTTGTTGGCCCTCCTTTTGTCAGTTACAAAGTGAAATAATAATATCTCATTTTCCTTTTTCTTATTTTTTTTTTTTTACTTTGTCAGCTCAGCGCCTATGGCTCAAGCAACTAAGGCACCAGCCACATTCACCTGAGCTGTCGGGTTCAAATCCAGCCCGGCCCGCCAAACAACAGTGATGGCTACAACCAAAAAATAGCTGGGTGTTGTGGCAGGCGCCTATAGTCCCAGCTACTTAGGAGGCGGAGGCAGGAGAATCACTTGAGCCCAGGAATTGGGTGGTTGCTGTGAGCTGTAATGCCACGGCACTCTACCCAGGGCGACAGCTTGAGGCTCTGTCTCAAAAAAAAAAAAAACTTTGTCACCCTTGGTAGAGTGCCATGGTGTCACAGCTTATAGCAACCTCCGACTCTTGGGCTTAAGCGGTTCTCTTGCCCCAGCCTCCCAAGTAGCTAGGACTAGAGGCGCTGATCACAATGCCCCGCTGTTTTTTTATTTTTTGGTTGCAGATGTCATTGTTTAGCAGGCCCAGACGGGCTCAAACCCACCACCTTCAGTGTATGTGGCTGGCACCCTACTCACTGAGCAACGGGCACTGAGCCATTTTCTAACATATTTTAAGAAACAGTTGTCTTAACTGCTTTATGCCACTATAACAGAATACCTGAGACTGGATAATTTATAAAGACTAGAGATTTATTTCTTACTGTTTGTAGGCTCAGATGTCCTAGGTTGAGTGGCCTGCACCTGGTGTGGGCCATCTTACAGCATCATCCCATGGCAAAAGGTGGAAGGAAGAAGAGTACTTATGAGAGAGCAGAGGAAAGGGGACTGAACTCATTCTTTTATCAGAAATCTACTCAAGAAATAACTCAATTACAGCATTAATCCATTTATGAAGTCAAAGCCTTCATGACCAGAGCATCTCTTTTTTTTTTTTTTTTTTTTTTTTTGAGACAGAGCTTCAAGCTATCCCCCTGGGTAGAGTGCCATGGCATTACAGCTCACAGCAACCTCCAACTCC